CTGCGGGGGAAAAAAAGCCTTACAAGAATGTTTAATTCAAATGAGGAAAAATTACATGACTTTCCTGAAGGACATAAAAGACCTGAAGAGGGGATATTCCATATTTCTAACTGGGAAAACACATTGTAGGTTGCTACGATATAAAAACATATTGTAGGGTTTGCAACACCATTCAAAATCCCAATATACGTTTTTATTAAACACAACACAAACTCATTCTATGATTCGTCTGGAATTATGAATCTGCTTGAATGGCCATGAACATTTTGAACCAGAAGATTAATGAGCGATGACTTGCTATCAAAACATAAAATAAAATTTTGCTATAAAATGGTGTGGGTTTCGTGCAGGGATAAAAAGATCAACAGAACAGAACAGACATGTATAAAAATTTTATATTTGTTAAAATAGCATTTCAAACAAAAAGGGAAAGGACAGACTATGTGATAAATGGATGTGAAACAACTACCTAGCCATTTTGAGAAAAATAGGTAGATTTTCATTTCCCAGCTGTGTGGACAGCTCTGGTCTGTCCCTCCAGCTACTTCCTTCAACCTTCTGTACCCTGTTCTTTGCGGGAGAGGAGAATCTGTGTGAACTCTATCAACGAGGCTTCGTTGTCCTCGTGGTGGGAGTCAAGGTCAAAAGGGAGAATCGACAGGGAATCAAGACTGGGATCCCTGTGGGCCACCTCAGGCTAGTAGCTTCCCTTAACTGAAGTTCTCAGCCCCTGGGAGGTGGTGGTCTTCTCTGCCCCGTCCTCTGCACGCTCCTTTCGCCCCTTCAGACATGGGTGCTAAAGGCTCCTCTCACTTTTATTTTGGCCACACCATCACAATCAGACCCCTGATTCAACGACCCTTTGGCACCTCATGCGGAGCATGCCATCTAGTTTTTCTTGAGGCTTATTGATACCATATTATTCACAAAATTAAATTCCAGGAAGATTAAAGACCTAAATTTATTTTTAAACCTATAAAAATATTAACAATATGGGAATATATTTATAACCTTGGGTGTAGGAAGATTATTTTTAGACAAGATACAAATCAAAATTCATAAGAGGAAGGATGGATACATTTGACTAAAACAAAATTCCAAATTTTTGGATGATTAGATACTCATAAGCAAAGTTAAGAGAAAGATGGAGAGGAATATTTGAAATTTATAACAAAGTGTTATTATCTGTACCATATAAGGATCAATTTTAAACATATAGTTTAAATATATTAAATTATATATTTACATATGTTTATATATAAAATACATAATATAAAATATATTTTATACATATAATATACACATATATTTTATATATAAATATATGGAAGTATATAAACATCAATTTTTAAAAGAAACATTATTAGAATAATGGACAAGAATATGAATGGGCCATTTACAAAGAGGAAATAAAAATGGAATAAATATTTGAAAAGATTCTTAATTTAAATTACTAATAATCAGGAAAATATAAATTACCACAAGACACCATTTTTAACCATCAGATGGGCAGAACTTTAAAGAATGATAAACATCAAGAGCTGTTGAGGAACTTCCCTGGTGGTCCAGGGGCTAAGACTCCACACTCCCAATGCAGGGGGCCCGGGTTCAATCCCTGGTCAGGGAACTAGATCTCACATGCCACAACTAAGAGTTCACATGCCGCAACTAAAGATCCCGCATGTCACAGCTAAAGATCCCACATGCCACAACTAAGACCTGGTGCAGCCAAATTAAAAAAAAAAAAAAAAAAATTGTTGAGCAAGTAAGGAAACAGGCTCTCTTGTTCACAGTCAGGGAGAGTGTTTGTAAGTTGGCAAGCTTTTTGGAGGAAAATCTGGCAGTGCCTATTAAAATTATAAATGTCCATCCCTTATGATCCTACTTCTTGGCAGCTACCATGGATAAAAACTTGCATATTTGCTCAAAGAGGTATGTATAAGGATGTTTATTATAGCATTATTGGTAATAGTAAAAAACTGGAAACAATCTAAATGTCCATCAACTGTGGAATAACTAACACATTTGCACAGTAGATTATATGCAACAGTTTAAAAACAGAGATCCATATGTTCTGACCTGGAAATATCTCTAATACCTTTTGTTTAGTGAAAACCTATTTAATTTCAGGACATCACGTAGACCATGATACCATTTGCGTAAAGGTTACTTGTATGTTTTTTTTATATGTGTATAAACTCACAGATAAAAGTCTAACAAATACACGCCAAATTGATATCTATTGTTACTTTGGGGTAGAAGACTGTGGGATTTATTGGGAGAAATGTCAGGGATTTTTCACTTTTTTTGTATTCTGCATTTTTCTGTATTTCACTATTTTCTGTATTGTTTGAAATTTTACAATGTGAATGTATTTACATCTTACCTATAAAATGATCTCTTTAGTGAATAATTATAGATTACATTTAATTCCTTCAGAAAAAGATAAAAGAAAGGAAGAACATGGGGCTTTAGCATTAAATGCAAGTATGACTTCAAGAAACTTGCCTAATTCACTGAGACTTGTCTCCTCCTGCATAAAAGGGGGAAGTTTGTTGCGAAGATTAAATTAGACAAAGCCCGCTAGATGTGCAGCTGACTTCATGGTAGACGGTACTGGTTGTCCCTTTCTTTCTCCTCCATTTGGCCTGTGAGAACCTTTAGGGCCAAGATCTTAACTTCAGTTGCCTGTACACTGTGGACGTCTGTGCAAATAGAAGCTCAGTTACATTTACTGAAAGAATGAGTGACTGAACAAGCCACATTTGTTTACTGTTAATGGATAAACATATGTTCACATATGTTCATTGTTAACGGTAAACAAGAGATGCCTTTTTGGCTTCCAACAGGAAGATCAAAGGCTTCTGGTTTGTGAGAACAATAAGTCAAAGAAAACCAGAGATCTACACCAAAGGGATAAGGGTTTTAGAGCAGGAAGGTTCATCACACAGATCTGATATTGGAGAGCCCCTCTGTGGAGTGATAGGGCTGCCATGGGCAGGGGTGTGGGTACTGGAAAGCCAAGCTGAGAACCCGGTCTCCAGGCTGAGACTGAATATACTAATGGACAAAGGCCTGGCTGTATATAACAGTGACGATAGAACTCTGACCCACAACCTCTGCAGTAAATGGCCTGGGAAACCAAACCACAACGTCTGTAGCCATTAGTCCAGAACAGTTAGGACTTGGGCAACGATGTCAACTCTCTAATTTTGCCCCACTGCCTCCTCTATTTCCATCTCAGGACCAGTCAGAGAAAGCCTAATATGCTCTCCAAACCAATCACATCAGATGCTCCATTTCTAGTTAGCCCGCCCTCAGCTTCCCCATGCCAACAAATCTCCAGTGAGAAAGTACCCACAATCTTCTCTTATTTTTCACTGTAAAGCTTTCCCACTCCTCTGCCTGCCTTTGAGTCTCTGTCAAATGCTAGTGATGGCAGCTGACTTCCTTGCTACATAGCAAGCTCTGAATAAATAGCCTCTTTTCTCAGTTCAGTGGTCTTCGTTTATTCCCACAAGGCCTTCTCCCACATTGCAACTAGATACTAGATACATGTTATATATTGGGACTTATACTTATACATAAATTCTACTTCTAAATTTAAAACAAATCACCAATGTAGATTAGTGCCAAAAGCCAAACGTCTCAAGGAATCTGAGGAAGGATGCTCAGCTTGCATTAAACTAAGAAAAAAATAAATGATGTCCATACAGATGGCAGCAAAAAGAGGCCAAAGACAAGACTGCGTCTGGACAATGGACAGAGGCTTCCAGAAATCTCTGCAAGCTTTCTTTTTCTCCCATAAGGCAGGAACAGCTGGGTCCAGAAACTGCAGGGACTGGAGAGCCTAGGTGGAATGCCTCCTTATCAGTCTCTCCTCAGGGCTGGGCTGTAGTTGTAAGTCTTTAGAAATGTCCACCTGCCACAGGTTCAGACAAATGAACCAAATATATACATAAGGCCTTAGGGGATTTAAAGAAGTAGAAGATGGTTGGGAAGTTCCCAGCCCCTAACTCCAGGAAAAAGGGTTTCTTGGATGCTGGCATTGGAGCCTTGCCTATCTATCTACCCATGACTATTTGCCTGTCTGAAATCCTAAAATTCTCAGCATCACTCTATAGAGCCTTAAAATGTATTTAAAACAGGTTATAGCCACATTTCTCAAACTACTTAATGTTAATAGATGTCTCAGCAAAAAAAGGAGCTTTGCAGTCAAGTTTGGGAAATGCTGGGTGAAACCAAGTTAAACAGACTTCTTTTTTGGCAGGACTTTGCAAAACCTTCAATATGCTAATATATGTTGTGAATCTGCAAGAAGGAGATATATAGCATACAGCATCTTCCAAAGTTACTTAACCATAGAAATTGATTTCCTGCCCACCTATTTACATCTCCCTGAACATCATTCTATAACATACAACTTTGGAAGCACAGGTTTGAGATAATGCCACCTTTCATGGGAAAACCATCGGCTGGCTCATACCTCTCATCATCTATTGTAACTCACCAAGATGAGGATCAAGATGCCCCATAGCAAGCGGTGCAAGAGGGCAATTTTGATGGGAGAAGGAAGAAGACAGGATCATAAAGCAGAGCCTGGGGCCAACGGAGGTTATAGTCAGGTCTCAGGTCAGCCTAGCACAGCTTAAGGACAGGGGGTGTATTCAAGATGGAGGAAGCCAAAAATTATCCTCGCCCGGGTCGTAATTTTTCTTGACCAGCCATAGGATCATTATCTCTAGGAAGATAGAGAGTAACCAGCAGATCATTGCATGGGAAGAAAACAGAGATTCAGGTGATTGATTCTTTTCATAGCACTTTACAAAAGACCGCCCATAGTCCTATTTTAGAGTCAAGATAAGGGAGGGCAGAGAGATGATACAACTTGTCTAATGCCCCAATAAAGGCACTTTTCCTTCTGCAACCGCACCACAGAGACTTCGAGAGAGCACAGGAAAGGGGAGTGAAGTGTTCCAAGGATTCCCTTGTTCACTTACTTTAGAATCACACAGCCAGTTCCTGCAGGGGGCGCTATCCAGAACACCTGGATCCGCGTCCTCCTCCGTGGGGTGCTTTCGGTGACCGCAACGGGGCAATTACTCATAAATTGTGTTTCTTCTTCATCTATGATCTGTGGAAAACCAGTGGAAAATAAACACATTAAAATGCAATGTCACTTTGGGAAGTTTCCGTGTTGACACTTCCTTAATTTTATTTTTAAATCTGTCATTTTCTGTTAGTAGTTCTACATCCCCAAGACACCAGAACAGTGCCTGGCACAGAGTCCCACTTAATGCTTGTTGAATTAACATAAGGGCAAGGATGTAGCACCTGTTCTCCGCTCTCTGGGACCAGGATCTTATGTCAGCACTTTGAGGGACAGGCCACTAGGTGATGATGTTGTTCATTTCACTACAACAACCTGTGTCCCACTTCAGGGAAGGAGGAGGGTGGGGGAGAGATGATCCAAAGCAAACACTATATGCCTAGACGTTGTGATTCAATTTTATAGCTTGAAATTAAAATGTTAAAAGAAAACCCCCCTTTGGAGTAAGTATACCAAAGTACATAAAGTCGCCCAGCTCTATAGCACTGTTTCCTCTTGCAGCCTCTCCTTTCTTAATTTGTGCCTTATACCGGTGTTCTCCCAAGTTAACCATCAAGATTTCCTATGACACTGCAAAAAAGCTGGTAGCCATTCCCATTCCACAAGGCTCTTTTCACCATTTCTCCGGCTTGCTTCTGGGTCTGCAGCCAGGACTTGCCTATCCCTCTCGTAGAACCACAGACTGTCAGACCTGAACGGATCTTTTGGGGGAAACCATCTAAATCCAATGGGTCTTAAGTGCCAACTCCAACTGATTGGTAGTAGCTGTGTCATGAGTGATGTTACTAACATTAACAGAGAACATTTATTGGGTGTTTAGTGTAGGCCAGGTACTAAGCTAAGTGCTTTATATGAATTACTCATTTAATTTTCAAATACAACTTAATGAGATCATTATATCCATATTGTATTTACTTTATTTAAAATGTTTTTTAATTCCTCTTTTTTTTAGGAAAGCAGGTAAAAAATTAAGTCACATCATATCCTTTCATCACTGTGCAAAGCAAAGGCAACGTTTTGTCTACCTCTATATTCTTTATACGTCTCTCATTTCCTTCCTTTGTTTACCGCTCACTCCTAAGTATTTAATATATGTCCTTCTGAATATCTCTATATACACATATACATATATTACATATATGTGTGTGTGTATAATTTACTTGAAGTTACCTAGAGTTTTGTATTTTAATATTTCTTTCACTTAATCTTATAATTTTGAGATATGTCAATGTTACTACATGTGAATGTAACACTGCTACTGATGCTGCTTAGTATCCACTGCATGCATGGACCACATTTTACTTATTCTCCCAGTGAGGAGCACTTAACTGACTTCCAGCTCTTTGCCTCGACAAACATTGCTGTAATACAAATCCTCATGCTGCTCTGCTTATGAACGTACCTGAGAGATTCTCAGCAATATAAACCATGTAGTGGGACTGCTTGGTTGTGAGGGTGTGGGTATAATCATATTAATTTCACTAAGTAGTTCCAGATTGTTCTGCAGAATGGCTTTACCTACTTTCATTCTATAAGCTATGCATAACTGTTCCCATTGCCCCATATCCTCACTAGTACTTGTGATTATTGGACTTTCTAATTGTTTCCAATCTGATGGATATAAAGTAGTATCTTGTTTTCATTTAATACTAGCAAATTTGAGCATCTCTTCATAAATTTATAATGTTTCTCCTGTGAACTGCCCACTCAAAATATTTACCGGTGGATTTTTCTTTTTCTTGTCAATTTGTAGGACTTTCCAGATATGAAATGCTCGTCATTTACGAATACCTTTCTGTCACCCAGACGTTCATCTTATCTTTGGAATTCTTCAATAATTTCCATCTAATCAAATTGATCAATTTCTCTCCTATGGCTTGCAATTTTTTGGTCTTGCTAAAAACACTGAGATCACAAAGATATTCTCTAGTATTTTCTTCTAGTAAGAAGAAAATATTTAGGCCTTCAATCCATTTAGAATTTACTTTTTAATGTGATGGAGTAGGGATCCAACTCTATTTTCTCCATACTGTGAGCTACTTCAAAACAAATTAGTGAACAGATTTTTTTAGAGCAGTTTTACACTCACAGCAAAATTGAGCAGAAAGTACGGAGAGTTCCCATATACCCCCTGTTCCCACACATGCACAACCTTCCCCATTATCAACATCAGGCATCGGAGTGGTACATTTGTAACAACTGATAAACCTACAGAAACCTACACTGACACATCATCACCCAAAGTCCACAGTTTGCATTAGAGTTCACCCTTGGTGTTCTATGGGGTTTTGACAAAGGTATAATAATATGCATCCACCACTGTAGTATTGTATTGAGTAGTCTCACTGCCTTAAAAAATCCTCTGCTCTGCCGATTCATCCCTCCCTCCCCACAACCCCGGGCAATCATCAAGCTTTTGCTGTAATTGCTTATTAGTTCCCTGAGGTTTTTTGTCGATTCAGATTTTCCTATGTAGACAACCATGTCATCTGTAAACAAAGACGGCTTTATTTCTTCCATCCCAATCTGTATATCTTTTATTTCCTGATCTTGTCTTGTTGTATTAGCTAGGACATCCAGTATGATATTGAAAAGTAGTGGTGAGAGGGGACATCCTTGCCTTGTCCTTGATCTTTGCAGCAAAGTCTCAAGTTTCCTACCAGTAAGTGTGATGTTAAGTGTAGGATTTTTGTACGCTCCTTACCAAGTTAAGGACCTTTATCTCTATTCATAGTTTGCTGAGAGTCAGGGTGTTGGATTCTGTCAAATGCTTTTTCTGCATCTATTTATATGATCATGTGATTTTTCTTCTTTCACCTGTTGATGTGATAGATTACATTAATTGATTTTCAAATGCTGAACCAGCCTTGCATGACTGGGATAAATCCCACTTGGTTATGGTGTCTATTCTTTTTATACACTGTTGCATTTGATTTGCTAATATTTTGTTGAGGAATTTTACATCTATGTTCATGAGAGATACGGGTTTGCAGTTTTCCTTTCTTTGCAATGTCTTTGTCTACTTTTGGTAATAGGGTGGTGCTGGCCTCATAGAATGAGTTAGGAAGTAGAGAATCGGTATAATTTCTTCCTTAAATGTTTGGCAGAATTCACCAGTGAACCCATCTCGGTCTGGTTCTTTCTGTTTTGCAAGGATATTAATTATTGATTCAGTTTCTTTAAAAGATATAGGTCTATTGATATTTTCTATTCCTTATTGTGTGAGTTTTGGTAGATTGTGTCTTTCAAGGAATTGGTCCATTTCATCTAGGTTATCAAATTTGTGAGCAGAGTTGTTTGTAATACTCCTTATTATTCCTTTAGTGTCCATGGGATCTGTAGTGATGTCCCTTCTTTCATTTCTGATATTAGTAACTTGTGTCTCCTCTTTTTTTTTTCAGTTGGCCTGGCTAAGGGCTTATCAATCTTACTGATCTTTTCAAAGAACCAGCTCTTGGTTTTATTGATTTTCTCTATTGATTTCTTTCTTTTTTCAGTTTCATTGATTTCTGGTCTAATTTTTATTATTTTTCCGGTTTATTTTAGATATTATTTGCTTTTCTTTTTCTAGTTTCCTAAAGTAGAAGATTAGATTATTGATTTAAAGTTTTTCTTCTTTTCTAATATGGACATTCAATGCTATAAATTTCCCTTAAGTGCTGCTTTCATTGCATCGCACAAATTTTGATAAGTTGTATTTTCACTTTCATTTAGTTCACAATATTTTAAAATTTCTTCCGAAATTCCTTCTTTGACCCATGTGTTGGTTAGCAATGTGTTGTTTAACCTCCAACTATTTGGGGATTTTCCAGCTATCTTTCTATTATTGATTTCTAGTTGAATTCTATTGTGGTGTGAGAGCAGATACTGTATAATTTCTATCTTTTTAAATTTGTTAAGGTGTATTTTATGACCCAGAATGTGATCCATCTTGTTGAATGTTCCATGTGAGCTTGAGAAGAACGCGTAATCTGCTGTTGTTGAATGGAGTCTATAGATGTCAGTTAGATCCAGCTGATTGATGGCACTGCTGAGTTGAACTATGTCCTTACCGAATTTCTGCCTGCTACATCTGTCCATTTCTGATAGAGGGGAATTGAAGTCTACAACTATGACAATGGATTCATCTATTTCTCCTTGCAGTTCTACAAGTTTTCAGCTCACACTTTTTTTTTTTTTTGGCGGCACGCGGGCCTCTCACTGTTGTGGCCTCTCCCGTCGCGGAGCACAGGCTCCGGACGCGCAGGCTCAGCGGCCATGGCTCACGGGCCCAGCCGCTCCGCGACACGTGGGATCTTCCCGAACTGGGGCACGAACCCGCGTCCCCTGCATCGGCAGGCGGACTCTCAACCACTGCGCCACCAGGGAAGCCCTCAGCTCACACATTTTGATGGTCTGTCATTAGGTGCAAACATATTAAGGATTATTACACCTTCTTGGAGTATTGATCCCTTTATCATTATGTAATGCCTCTCTTTATTCCTGATAACTTTCCTTGCTCTGAAGTCCACTCTGCCTGAAATTAATATAGCTATTCCTGCTTTCTTTTGATTAATGTTAACATTGTATATCTTTCTCGTCATCCTGCTTTTAATCTATTGATATATGTCTTTATATTTGAGGTGGGTTTCTTATAGATAACATATAAGGGTCTTGTTTTTGATTCACTGACAACCTTCTAATTGATCTGTTTAGACCACTGATGTTTAAACTGATTGATATAGGCAGATTAATATTTACCATATTTGTTGCCTTGTTCTTTGTTCCTATTTCTGTCTTTCACACTTTTTCTGTCTTTTTTGGTTCTAATTGAGAATTTTATATGATTCTATTTGTTTTCCTTTCTTAGCATATCAATTATACTTTTTTTTTTTTTTTTTTTTTTGCTTTTTAAAATGGTTGTCCTGGAGTTTTCAGTACACATTTACAACTAACCCAAGTCTGCCATCAAATAACACTATACTGCTTCAAAGATAGTGCAAGTGCCTTATAATAACAAAATATCCCTAATTCCTTCCTCCTTT